GTGTGTGTGTGTGTGTGTGTGTGTTGCTGTGTATGTGCTTTGATAATAGGGAAGGAGGAGTATTCATGAGAGTACATAGAGGTGAGACTTTAGCTAGACCTTGATGTCTGGAATACCAAAGGGAGGAGAGCACATGGAGAGAGCCAGGTAACTAGAAATCTGGCAGGCAGAAGGTTAATTTTCCAACCTCAGCCTCCATGGGGATTTAGGAGCTGAGATCACAGCTGTGATTCCTCCAGACCCCAGGGATCTGTCCCTAAATTAGTCAGCAGCTTCTGTCTGATCGTCATCTCTCAAGCGCTTGGCCAGCTGCCGGGACCTTCTGCAGGGTGATGTTTGGGCTGGGTAAACAATTTAGCTGGGGCTTTCCTTATTAAGAAGCCGGAGAAGTATGTGTCACATCTCTTAGCTGTGGAATAGGCCTCTAGGGAAACACCCCTAGCAAAGTGGGGGCACTTTGGTAACTAATCTTTCTTTTCCTTTCTCCTCCCCCAGTCTGGCTGCTTCCAAGGAAGCTGAGGCTGCGGCCCGTTCCGCACCCAAGCCTATGTCTCCCTCGGATTTTCTGGATAAACTGATGGGGAGAACCTCAGGATATGATGCCAGGATCAGACCTAATTTTAAAGGTACATAATCCCCTCCCTTTTTCTCCACCTGACCCCCTTACCCTTTTCCCTTTTGTGTTATTGAAGTCTTTTGTTGTAATGGACAGAGCCCAGTACTAAGAATCAAGAGACCTAGATTTTAACCCTAGCTCTCTGTAGCACATTTCACCTCTCTGGGCCTCAGTGTCTTCTTCTGTAAAATCAGGTTGAACCCAATGCTCTTTAGGGACCATTCTAGCTGGGATATTCTATTTTCTAAAGTTCCTTCAAGTTCTAAAACTCTATGTCCTGTATTCTATTTTTGATGTCCCCCCCAACTCTAACATTCCATGTTCTATTTGTTAATATCCCTTACAGCCTGAACAGTCTATGTTCACTCATTCAAACTTTAAATAAATATTTAAGTGCCTACGATGTGAAGAGGGCACTGTGTTAGGTGCTAAGGGAGATCAAAGTTTAAACAAGACATCGTCTCTTTCCTCATGTTGATATTGGAGAAAAAACACAAACTCAAAAAAAGTGTAATAAAATATTGTATGATTAAGTGCATTAGAAATGCATAATACAATGTGCTATATAAAATCTGAATAGGGAAAAGATCTTAACCAACTGAGAGTTTAGAGAGGACTCCATGGTGGAAGTGGCATTTAAAGGATGAGTGAAAACTCAGCAGGTAAAGAGGAAAAGGGAAATACCAGTCAAAGGGAAAAACATGAACAAAGGCAAAGAGGCAGGGACACCCAGAATGTGTTTGGGGAACCAAAATTAATATGGTTTGGCTGGAGCATTGATGGCGTGAAGAAAAGCAACAGAAGATTAAGACAGAATGCAAAGATGGAACTGGCTTATAGAGAGCTTTGAATGTCAGACAAAAAAGTTTGAATTTTGTTTGATTGACAATGAGAATTCCTTGATAATGCAAGATCTCTACAACTATGGAGGTAATTTTGTTCAATGACCCTCTGAGTATATACATCATTCTAGACATAAACCATAGAGATGTATGCTCACTAAAAGTGCTCATCACTGTCATTGAAGGAGCAATGGAGAGCACTGGAGACTAATAGTGACTTCAGAGGACTGATGTGAAACATGCCTCCTAACTCTCAGCAGAAAGGTGGCGGATTGTTGGTGCAGAATGGAGCATGCTTTGGACAATGCGTTGATTTGTTTTATTATACTTATATACGATTAACTATATAGTATACTTCTACATTATAAGGGAGGCTCTATTGGTGGGGAGGGTAACTGGGAAGTAACAGTAATATAAACAAAAGATCATCATTGTATCATAGCATCATAGACTTGGAGCTAGAAAATTAAATTAGGCCTCTAGGGCCATTCTGGGGTCAACTAGAGGCTGGACCCTCTCCGGTCCAACCCACTCATTTTACAGATTAAAAAACTGAGGCCCAAAGAGGTTATGTGACCTGCCTATGGTCACACAGGTAATAAGCATCAGAAATAAGATTCGAACATAGATTCTTGTATTTTTTTGACTTCAGAGTTAGAGCACTTTCCACTATGCTATAATACCTGTGCCACACACACACACACACATACACACACACACACACACACACACACACGCGCGCACACACGTTAAAAAAAAGGAGAGAAAGAAAGAAAACTGGATTTGGAGTTAAAGAACCAGGGTTGAAATCCTGACTTTGCTACTTATTATCTGTATAACTGTATCACCTTAGGCAAATCACTTAATCTTTCCTCATTTATAAAACTGGAGAATGACCTCTAAGGACTGTTTTCTAGCTCTAAATTTAGGCTCCTAAGGTTCTAATGGAAAAAGACTTCCTAGAAACACTGAGGTTTTCTAGTTTCTTTTTTATTTAGATAATATTGTGTTGATTATATTAAGCATCAGGATATTACAGGCCTCACCAATGAGACCCAAAATTAATCAGGAGATAGATCTAACAATTCATATGGGAGAAACCAAATGGATGAAAATGAGACTAACATACAGTTGAATGACAAATCCATTGAATTAGTAAATCAATTGTGAATGACCCAAATGACAATGGAAAGATTCTTGGTGGGCACAAATATGGGCAATATATTTCCCCTGTTCAAGAAATGCTTTAAAGAGATATCATCAGGAAGAAAATGTAGGATTACAAAAAGAGGTGGACTGGTCACATGTTGAGAAAACAGGTAACCGTAAAATATAGAAAGATCCTAAAGGAAAGACTTTGGGTACATTGGGTAGACCCTCTGTGGAGGATTGATAAGAGAATATGGGTTACAACTACACAGAATGGAAGGTATGAATGGACTGTAATTTGTTCAGTTGGTAGAAATACTCACTGAGTCAATGAAATTACATGTCCATTGAAGAAGGAAATAGGGAGCTGAAGATATTTGAGCTGAGTAATGACACAAATAAATGAAGATATAAGGGATATTAGTCTGATATTAGTATTAAGGATGTATTGGAGCAAAGAGGAAATGTAGATGAGAAGGCCTCTTAGGTATCCAGACTCCATATTTAATAATCTATCAGATATTCAATGTTCTGAAGTCCTTTCTAGCTCTGACAATCTATGTGCTAGTTTGTAAGGTACTATTCAGACCTGACTTTTTTAATGACCTTCTGTCTCTGATCTTTGACATAGTATAGGGGTAAAAGTACTATATCTAGAGTCAGAAGACCTGGGTTTGAATCCTGATTCTGCTTCTTACTTTATGTGTGACCTTGAGCAAACCATTTCCTTTCTCTAGACATCTGTAAAAAAAAGGGGGGGGAGGTGTATTGAATGACCTGTAAGGGGCTTTTTGAATTTGACATTCTACATTCCAAAGTCATTTCTAGCTCTGACAGTCTATGAATCTATGGAATGTCTCTAAGAGACAGGCTAAGAGGAGAAAGGGAGCTCAAAAGAATCAGTTTCTTTTGACCTTGAATTTGTACAGTGCCTTTCCCTAGAAACTCCTTCCCTGATGCCAGGACAGATTGTATGCCTATAAAGGGAGTAATTCAAGGGCTTCTGAATTGCCCCTTTGCCCCAAAATATCATCCCTGGTAGTGTCTGAAATTGTACCATTAGACATTTATTCCTTTGGGTTTTATACATTGCTGGAGGCAGGACTCAAAGTCAGGGCTTCTGAATCCAAGTCTGTTTGCTCTGGTGAGAAGGAAACAATAGGGTAGAGCCTAATTTAAATAGCTTGAAGCAGCAGATGAGATGATGCAGCTGGTCTCTCTTTCTTAAAGCTAATAAAATGGAAACCCTCATTCTTGGCACCTACTCAAGCCCATGATATTGTCCAGAAGCTAGGCTAAATCTTTGGTACATACTGAATACTACAGGTTCATTCTGTCAAGGAGACCAGGGAACAGATGGGGGAGGGGGATCAGGGGTCAAGGAGACAGATATTCTCCCCCTCTACACCTCACAGATTTTAATATAAAGAATTCTTCCTAACGATTAAATATTCTGTTCTATCAACTATCACTGGAGATATTGGGATCCCACCTTGGTGGACGTGTTTAACCACAGGTTGGATAGCTACCAGTCAGGAAAGAGGTAGAGGAAATTATAGCATGGCGTCATAGATTGAACTGATGACTTCTGGGCTTCCTTCTGGCTTGAAGAGTCTGATTCTAGGAGATGAAGTAGTTAGAAGGCAGGTTGGGATGGGGGTTATGCTTCACTTAATGCTGTGTTGTGTCATGGAAAGAGCCCTTAATTAAGAATCGAGAAATTTGAGATTTTGTCCCCAACTCTACCACTAACTCATTTGATGGCTTTGGGGGTGTATGGGGTATTCAGAAGGACTAGCACCTCTGGTGTGAGGACTTGCCAAGCCTTTTTCAGGGCTGATCACCCACCTTTGGTGTCTACCTGTCACCCAACTCTCACCTGTGGCTCCAAGAAGAGTTTTATGGGCAACAGCCATCCTCCAGTAAAATCATCTAGGTAGATGGGTTAAATCAGGTTGAGGGTAACTGAACTCAAACTTGTCAGTGAGTTAGGGGGATGTCTACCCCAAGTATGTAATGACTTCTCCCAACAGAATGGGCAGATGAGAGCAATTTGTTCCAACAACCATGAAGGCAGCTGAAGCAGGCACCGTGGAGTACTTGCAGCTTGGTCAGACATCAAAGATGTCAAGGTCATTCATCAAATCCCAGGCCATCACCAGTCATCTTGACTTTTGTCCTGCCACTGGACTTCAATGACTCAGGAAGAGAGAGTGAAGCTTATGACTTTGTGCAATTCTGCTTCATTTAAATCCAATTCACTAGCAAGCCAAGCCATCACCTGCCATGTTATTGGTCCTCTTCAATAACAAGGGATGAACAACAGCAATAGATGACTTTGGGCAAGTCACTCCCCTTCCCTGAGCCTAAAAATGAAGGATAGGGGTGCTGTATCTGGTCATCCCTAAAGTCCCTTCTAGTTCTTACATGCCCATAAACATCAGAGCATGGAGATTACTGAACCGTCTTCTATTCCTGTCTCACCACCAGGCCCTAGACCACCACCAAAATGTTTTATAAGGCCCATAACAGGTTTTCTCCCTTTGAGATCTGTAGCAAATCTAGGTGAGGCAAAAAGGCCAGGATATAGATTTTGCTACAGCCATTGACAAACAGCTGTGCAGAGCCCAGCAGCCCTGATCTCTCCCATGTCTTTGGAATGATGTGTTCTCCTCCCCCAACAGCCTAACTCCAACCAAGCTAGTTATAGGATTCCCTATATGCAGCTTAAGAGATGCTTCTCTGAAAAGGACCGCTCCTCTAAACCTGCCTAATTGATTTGGGATTCCAGGCGCCTTCCTTGGCTTTTCTCTTGGCTCTAGTCCAAGACCTGGCCCCAGGGTTTGTTGACTGGTAACAGCTTTCCTAATATTTGCTCACCTCTCTCTGTCTCTCTCTCTCTCTCTGTCTCTCTCTGTCTCTGTCTCTCTCTCTCTCTCTCTGTCTCTCTCTCTCTCTCCCCCATCATTCTCCAAGACTTTCCTGAAATGTCCTGTCTATATAGTATACTTCAAATGATAGTCAGATCTAAGGGAGGCAGCTCATTTTAGTGGAACAAGTTAGGAGACCTGGGTTCAAGTTCTGACCTCAATACTACTGTTGTGAGACCTTGGGCAAGTCAAGTCACCTCTCTGACTCTGTTTCCTCAAGTGTAAAATGAGGGTTAGGGTGAGCAGATATCTAAATCTTGCTAGTCTATGTTCTTGGGTTCCTTCTAGTTCTTACATTCTGTGTTAGAAGTTTTCTCCCAGTTCTGACATTCTACATTCTATGGTCCCTTCTAACTAGGATGCTCTTTATGCTAAGGGTCCCTTTCTGCTCTAACATGCTATACTTTTAAGATTCCTTTTCTCTGAAATGCTACGATCTTCTGAAGATGCTGTCTGTGTCTTCTCAACCCTTGATGTTGGCCCACTACTCTCTCTACTCTCTCTGTCACCTAGCTCTTGACCCTGACTCTTGGTGCCATTCTCTGATTAGCACAGGGTAGGAGGTTGAAAATTCCAAGGAACGATTAATCACTGGTCAGCTTCAATTCAGTGAGGCAGGCCAGGTGAGAAGAAGAGTGTAGCTCCTACAGATCCTGGCAGCCCTTCAGAAAGCCTTTCAGGCCCAGGGGCCCCACCCTAACACAAATGCATATACAGAAGCAAAATTAAACTTTAATTTTTAATGAAATCTACACATTATCCTTTGGCCAAAGGCTGACGGTTTATAATTTTCTTTGGTATAATTTAATTTCAGATTTATTTCAATGAACTGTACCTCCCCATGGGGTTGGTTTACTAGCTTCCTTTCCCATACATAAATCAAGATCCAGTCACAAGCAGACAATCAGACACTCTTGGGGTGGGGTTCAAAGAAACTGGTAGTAACTCACGAGGGTATCTTAATGCAAATGAAGGGGGCTCTTTGTGAAGACAAAAGGCTCAGATTGCTTGGGAGAGAGAAAATTAATGCCTCTAGTTTCCTAGAGGCACCTCCCTGACAAAAGAACACTAGTCGGGAACCAGGTGATCTAGAGTCCTCCTCACCCCACCACTAACTTTGCTTTACTTTGAATCCCCAAAGCACGGTGCCTGGCAGGCACATGGTAGGCACTTAATAAACATTTATTGAATTGAATTGAATCATTTTCCCTCTCTGTGCTTGCTACTTCCTATGTAAAATGTAAATCTCAAGGGCCCTTCCCACTGTAGAGCATAGCTTTGGCAGAGTTTGAATGATAGCCAGAGGCTGTTTTGACATAGATTGTCAGTTGGAACAGACCAGATTCCCACATCTCATCCTGCTAATACAAGAAGGAACATAAATGGTCCACACAAACCCCCATAGGCCTCTAGAATCCTCTTTAAATTTCATAGAAAAAGAACTGATGTCCAGAGATCTTGGTTCTAGTTCAGATCTGCCACTAACTTGCCATGTAAACTCAGCTAACTACTTCCCTCTTCTGGCCTCAATTTGCTTCTCTATAAAAATGAGACTAAATGGTCTCTAAGTTTCCTCCCGACACTAATATTCTATGTCTTAAGGTCCCTCCACCTCTGACAGTTTCCATTTTACTAACTTCCCTTTCAGAGCCCTTCCACTTCCCAGTGGAGCTGTCTGCCCCAATCCCTTAAGTCCTAACCTTTTGATACAAAACTTTGGGCACCAAGCTCACATCATGTTTAAAACAGCTTTCCCCTTTTGTTGGCCTTTCCAAATCCTACCCTTCCTCCTTGAAGGCCCAGCTCCATGACTCCAATTACTACTTTTCAATTACTGCTTCTTCCAAAAAGTTTTCCCTGACTTCCAACCTACAGTGATCTCTCCAAATTCCTGCAGCAATTCTACATTATCTACACACTGTCTTGTTTTTAATTTTAACAACAATCCTATGTTATTAATCAATTATGCTATTATTAATTATTCATTAAATTTGATAATTATTTTTGTTAATTATCAACCAATTAATTTAATTGATTAATCAAATAATAATTTTATTAATTATGTTATTATAAATTAATAAACTATGTTATTAAACAATCATCCTACAACCTGAGGAGAAGCTCCTCAGGTCAACTTTGCTTCAAGTGCTCTGGAGCAGATGACTCCCAGATCTACATCCAACCCTGGTTCCTCTCCTGAGCTCTGGTGCCAAATCATGAACTGCCTATTGGACATTTCAAACTGAATGTCTCATCTTGAGACATCTCAAGCTCAATATGTCCAAAATAAAACTCGTTATCTTTCCCCAAGAATCCACCCTTCTTCTGAACCTCTATTACTGTCAAGGATACCACCAGCCTTGCAGTTACCCAAATTCATAACCTCATTATCATCTCTGACATATCATCCTTTTTAAATTTTTATTTATTTTATTTTTAACTTACGGAATAAAACAGGCGTACAACATAGTGTAAGAAAAAAAGATGATTGCACATGAAACTGCAAATCTATTACATACAACTTATTATTCCTTTTAAATATATACTAAAGTGATTGTGTACATTTTTTACCTTTTTTCTTCCCTGACCCACCCTGCCCTTATATACACTGTGTATCCAATCAATTACCCAGTCTTGTTCTTTCTATTTCCACAACACAATAAATTCTACTCATGTGGCCACCAGCCTATTTTAGCCCCATCACTCTGTGGCTGTATTGTTGACCAATAGCCTCTCTCCAGTCCACTCCATCTTTCACATGGCTATCAAAGTTATTTTCTTAAAGAGCAGATCTGGCTATGCCACCTACCTACTCATTAATTCCAATGGTTCCTTATTGTCGTTCTTTAGTCATTTTTCAGTTGTGTCCAATTCTTCATGACCCCATCTGGGGTTTATTTTGGCAAAGATGTTGGAGTGGTTTGCCATTTCCTTCTCCAGTTCTTTTTACAGATGAGGAAACTGAGACAAACAGGGTTAAGTGACTTGCCCAGAGTCATCCATCTCCTAAGTGTCTGAGGCTGGATTTGAACTCATAAAGATGAGTCTTCCTGATTCCAGGCCCAGCTCTCTATCCACTGCACCACCTAGCTGCTCCTATTACCACTAAGCTAAAACATAAACTTCTCTGTCATTTAAAGTTTTTCATAATCTGGTCCCTTCCTGTCTTTCTAGGCTTCTTACACACTACTCCACTCTACAATCTACAATCCCATGGTATTAACTTTGTTGCTATTCCTCACATAGGATGCTTCCTCCATCTCCCATCTCCATGACTTTGCACTGGCTTCCCACCATGCTTTGAAAGCTCTACTCACATCTACCTCTTAGAATACTTGGCTTCCTTAAGGACTCAGTTCAAGTGTCACTTTCTGCAGGAGGAGTTTCCTGCTCCTTTTCACCCCAGTTGCTAAATACCTTCCCTTCTAAAAAGTTATCTTGTATCTACTCTGTTATCTTATACATACTTCTACTCATACCTCTTGTCTTCCTCGTTAGAATGTAAGATCCTGTACTGTTTTTGCTTTTTCTCTGAATTCTTAGCACTTTTCATGTTACCTGATACATAGTAAGAAATGAATAAAGGCTTATTGATTTAAGTATGTGTGTTTTATCTCCCTAAATAATGTTTGAGCTAAAACAGAGGCTTTTCTTGTATTCCTAGCCCAGCCTCTGTTCCCCTGTACCTCTAGGGAATACAAAAGGCTTGTTGACAATCCTTAAGATTCACCCCCATTTCCTCTTCAGGCAATTCCCATCAACCTCATCATAAGCAATCCACTGCAGTTCATAAGTTCAGCAGAAGAACGTCATGATTCCCAAAATGGCCTCCAAATTCTGCAGCATGACTGCATTTCAGCCACAAATTAGGAGGCAGCCGCTGATGGAGTTTGGGGAAGGGACCATATGGTGGGGTAATGAATCATCTTGCGTTAATGAATGCACATCCCAATTTAGCCCCTGGTACTCTCTACCTGGTACTTTCTACAGGACAAAAAAGAAAAAAAAAATGATGCCCATCAGGAAAGCAGCAGGGAAGAATTGCAGGTAGTTAAGAAGGAGAGGAATCCCAAGACCACCTAAGGAGAAGGTCCCAGTCTGAAGGATAGAACAAATTTAATAATATGAGCACCTACTCTCTTGCAGATTACTAGGCTTAGAAGTAAGAGATAAAAGAAAAAAATCATGAATCCTGGCTTCATGGAGCTTATAATCTAGAAAAAATATCACTGAGTCATAGTTCATAAAATACAAGGAAGAGACCTTAAACCATAAAACAAAAAATTTGATCTAGAACATGACTTATAGAACATAAACTGTCAAAAATGAAAAGTAGAATATACAAGAAAGAATTTTAAAACTGGAAGATACCTTAGAACAGAGATCATAGAATGTTAAAGATTGTTAGTATAAGATAAGACAAGAGAGCTAGACACAAGGTCCTTGAGGCCTTGATTGCTAGGCTAAGGAGCCCTGCCCTGTAGGGCTTCACAAGGTTGTGGAGTCATCATTTGGGTTGGCAACCCTGGGGTAGAACACTAACTTCTATCTTTCTTGCCTTTCAGGTCCCCCAGTCAATGTGAGCTGCAACATTTTCATCAACAGTTTTGGCTCCATTGCTGAAACAACTATGGTGAGTTATATAAAGTTCTTGCTGTTTCTCAATATATGCAGTATGTCTTACTAACATGAAGCCTCCTTAGGTGGTCTTGGGATTCCTCTCCTTCTTAACTACCTGCAATTCTTCCCTGCTGCTTTCCTGATGGGCATCACTTTTTTTTCTTTTTTGTCCTGTAGAAAGTACCAGGTAGAGAGTACCAGGGGCTAACTTGGGATGTGCATTCATTAACACAAGATGAAACAGAGAATCAAAAGTTATTGAAGAGTGGACTCCAATAGGGTTTTCACATTGATCTTGACCTGTTCAACACTTTCATCAATAACTTGGATAAAAGGATAAATGGCATATTTATCAGTTATGTGAACGAGATGAAACTTGGAGGAATAGATTATATGCCAAATAACAAAATAGATCTCCACCAAGATCTTGACAAGTTGGGACAATGGGTCAAAGCTACCAAACTTAAGGAGAAGAAAATGTAAAGTCTTACACTGTGGTTCAAACATTAAAATGCCAACATGCAGTATGGTAGAGACATGGCTATATAATTGCTCATGTGAAAAAGAGCTCACGGTATAGGGCAGACGTAGGGAACCTGGGCCTCGAGGCCACATGTGAACATCTAAGTCTTCAAATGTGGTCTGATTCAGTCAAAGGGCTGAACTTGAGAACTCAGAGGGCCGCATGTGGCCTCGAGGCCACAGGTTCCCCACCCCTGGTCTAGGGAAAGAATGTTGAATCTGAAGTCAGCAGATCTAAGTACAAATCCTTGGTTTGCTACTCACTCTCTGTGTGGCCCTGGCCAAGTCCTTTTTTCTCTCTAAGACTCAGTTTGTGACTCTGTAAATCTCTCTAAATCCTATGACCTTATGGCCAGGAAGTTGGACTGAAAGTTCAATAAGGTAATACAATATTCAGCTACATTGATAGAAATATCCTGTTTCTTTGACATTTCTAAGTTGAGCATGGAGCTGCAGTGATGAACTATTGATCCAAGTGATCATTGAAGTAGCTGCAAATTGTCAATGGTTCCAGTCCATGATTCTAGTGTTAGAGACAACCTCAAATCAGGATTGGAAACAACCAATTCACCATCATGCCTTACCCACTCACACCCCCCAGCGCACAGACACTGCTGAATCAGCAAGTTATTCCAATGGTACAGCCTGTGTGCAAAAATCAGTCTGCTTACAAATTGTCCTGTCTCTGAATATCCAACTTCAAGGAAAAAATTCAGGCCATTTCAACAAACTCTGCTCTAGTGAGAACTTATTCTTTAACTTTTCTAAACCAGAAAGTAAATTTCTTAAAACCTGAATGTCTCGTAAGTCTCTTCTAATGAGGGCACTGGCTTGTTCAGCATAGCTTAGCCGAATCAGAGTGAAGATGATAATTTCAGTCCATGTAGCCCTCTTCTCAACCCAATCCAGCAAGTGGATATTAAGTCCCTTCTGTCAAGTGCAAGGCCCTCTGTTAGGTGCTGGGGATTCTAAAACAAAAGAATAACAACAGCGAGACAGCTAAGTAGTGCTGTGAATAGGGTGCTGGACCTGGAATCAGGAAGATCAAAGTTCAAATCTAGCCTAACTCTAGCTAACGGCCCTGCACAAATCACTTAACCTCTGTTTGCCTTAGTTTCCTCATCTATAAAATGAGGATAAAAGCACCTACCTCCCAAAGTTGTAGTAAGGATAAAATGGGTTAATATTTGTAAAGCACTATATAAATACTAGCTATTATTATTAACAACAAACCCCTACCTTCAGTAAATGGTTTTGTCTCTCTCAAACTATATTTGAATATTGTGCCCATATGCAAAGAAGCAAGTTTCTTTAGTGTCCCCATCAGAGTTAGATTAGAGACTCAGTATAGGGTGTCCCAAAAGTTTTAATGCAATTTTAAGCTATCATACCTCCCCTCTAATAATTTAAGCTCTTAAAGTTTAAAACTGGACTAAGACTTTTGGGATATCCTATATTTCTGACACTGCTTTTGGGTAGAGGTCCTAAGACCCCAGAGCCTTCCTAACTGTTCTGCTACTTGTAATTATTTAGCAGAGAATCTGACTCAGGAACACTGACAGCTTGTAAACACCCTCCCATACCTCAGTACTCCCCACCCAGGTCACTAACCCTGCTTCCAGACAACCACAGCCATCATCCAGGGGAGCAACTCCTGAGGAGAAGGGACCCACCATCCCTGCCACCACCAATGCCAACTGTTCATCAGCTGCTACCAATGGGCAAGCAAGCCCAAGAAGCACAAGAACAACAGCTCCTTTACACCACTGGTCCTGCTCCCAATTCACTCCCACGGAAATCAGCTAGGCCAGAGGTTTCTTGAACATTTGGGCATGACAGTCCAGAAGCCACTGGACCCATTCTCAAAATAATGTTTTTGAATGCATAAAATAAAATATATATAGGATTACAAAAGAAACCGATTCTATTGAAATAGATATCAAAATATATTTTAAAAAGAAAAGACAAGATCACGTACCCCAGGCCAAGAACTCCTGACTAAGGGAACAACTCTTTTTGAAATGAACATGGCAACTGCTTCTGCAGATGCCGCATCTCCCAACTCCTTAGAAGCCACAAAGTCTGAAAGGAAGTTCTCACCAGCCAAGGCCTTGGCACAACCAAATGGCTCAACATCAAAAATGGATGTAGTTTAGTAATGGAAATGACACTAAAGATGATGCATTGCTATGTGCCTCGTACTATAAGACCACAAGGCCTTTCCATCTGATGTGAAGCTGAAACCTCCTATGTGCTTTGTTTTCCCCTAGCACAATGTGAGCTACTTAAAAACAAGAATCCTCTTGCTTTTCTATTTGTGTCCCCAGCATTTAGCACTTGGCTCATAGAAAGCACTTAGTAAATCTTTTTTCATTCATTCACTCCTGGAGCCGCACCTAGACAGCAGTCCCAGCTCCCATCCAAGAATAACACCACTGAAGGGCTACCCTATCTATACACAGTCAACAGTTCAACGAACTATAGCCAACAATTCAACAAATTGACATGGGGAGGGATTCCCCAGCCTGATTCAGGTGTCTCAGCTTTATTGGGGATTGATGGCAGAGTTCTACTTCTGTGTGTAGATAAAGTGAGGGAGCTTTCGGGAGCTTAGAGGGAGCTCTAGGGGCTCTGCCCCTGGATTATCTATGGGTCAGGGAGAAAGAAAGGCAATGCACCCACAAAGGCTGGATTTGAACTCACATCTTCCTGACTCTATGCCCAGGGCTCTATCCACTGTGCCATTTAACTGCCTTTAGTTAGAACAGGATCTAAGTGTGTGCTTCCATTTAGGAAAGGAGGTTACTCTTTTGTGTCCTAGAAAAAGAAAGAACCCCTGCTGGGGACTCCTTTGTCTGTTTGTGTTCCCACAGGATGTAGAAAGGGTTGGTTCAAGTTGTTCAAGACTTGGGGTGGGGGGTGGCAGCCCCTGATGAAAACTAGCCCCAGGTGTAGTTTGACTGGACTGATATGTGAGCATAGCTCTGAGACCCATCCTGCCCTTTCCCTCCTCTTCTCTCATATTGAGTAGGAACCTCCAGGAAAGAAGTAGCTCTCTGAATAACAAAGAGAAACAAGAATCTGGGGATGGAGAGAGATTACCTCTGAAATGTACACAATAGCTAAGGCAAGACAGTCATTCCCAATAGCTGAAATGTTATTAAAAATGGAAATTGCACATTATTGTACAAGACTCAGAACCTCTTCAGGAGAAATTAGGAAATATTGATAACAGATAGAACCAATTTATGAGGGGCACAAAGGAGGCCATGCCCAGGAAAAAAACTTAACCATCTTAAGACAGAGAAATTGAAGATGATCAGAGCTCTGGAGGTGCTGTGGTTTTCTCTGCATTCATTAAAGGCAATCCAGGGGAGAGAGGGGTCTTCTATTTTATGGGAAGAGTGGGTTTGAAAGCATTCTTTCTCTCCCTGATAATTTGTCTGTTGTCACTCATATATAAGGCAGTATGCTGTATCATATGGCATGCAGGACTGACAAGAAAAAAGGAGACCTGGGTTCTAACTCTGTCACTGTTCGACTTTGGGAAAGTCACTTGCTTTTATGTGCCTCTTCTTCTTCTTCCATAACATAAAGGGGTTCAAATGAATCCTCTCTATGGTCCCTTTCAGGTCCAAAGTACCATGATTTTATTATACACAAGAATTCCTTTCCTTTCTATTCATAAATTTCAGACATGGTCCACCTCCTCCAGGAAGGCTTCTTGGGATAAACATGCCCCACCTTGATTTCTCCCTTACTCTTGGTATCCTCAGTACTCAAGCTTATAATATTCAATATGTCATTTTGCTGCCACTACCACCACTACCCCACCTCCCATTAACATGGTACCTGTCATTGTTCTTGTTATTTCATGTTTACCTATCCCTCCAATTAGTTTTTAGACACCTGCCTGTTTCTTCTTTTTCCTTCCTATCCTGCCCCTGGAATCTCTTTCCCCATTCCATAGGATCAAGTTCTATAAGGGCTTTGGTTAAGGGGGTAGGGTCTATCTGGAGGAAAGAGTTATTTGTCAGATGCCCAAGGACTGGCAGTAGCTGACTGAAACCTGAAGGCTGGAGGAAGGGCTGAAAACCAGTTCCTGGATATGGGGTCCCCACTAAAATTCCCACCCTTTCCTACACTTGGAGGGTACAGGGTTATTCTTACCTATAGACTTCCCTTTATGCAGAGTTAGTTTAGAAATCATATGAAAAAGGAAGTAGACTTTTTTTACTCTGCCCCCAAAACTCAGAACTAGGAGTAATGAATGCTGGCTTGCTGGGAGGAAAATCTTTGGAACATTGAGTTGTCCAAAATGCAGTCTTCAATGGACCCTCCATTACTGTAGTTGTTCAAGCAGAGACTCGGTTACCATTTGTCAAAGATATTGTAGATAGGGCTTAGGTTAGATGCTTTCTAAAACCCTTCCAGCTTTGATAGTCTACAGTTCTATGATTCTGTGTGAGATGCAAGGGTGATACAGGTGTC